GGAGGCCTTGCTAGGGGAATTCTTTATCTTCACGAGGATTCTAGACTTCGCATCATTCACCGTGATCTCAAAGCTAGTAATGTTCTACTAGATGCAGAAATGAATCCTAAAATCTCAGACTTTGGCATGGCAAGGTTATTTGCAAAGGATGAATCTCAAGGAATCACAAGCAAAATTGCTGGGACATAGTAAGTTTTATATCTCTCATTAGATAGACTGTTCATAAATACCCAATTTGCAGCACAACATTCTACCACTGTACTTCCCAAGTTTATTAGAAAATGTCTTAATTTCATTAATGGAATGTGTAGCTCTGGCTTTTAACATCAAGTAGTTCCCTGTTGACAGCTTATGCAGTTATGCTGATCCCACTATTTGCACTCCCAAACCCCAGAAATGATTTTTTTTTAGCCTTTTTACCTCAAGTCTGTTGAAGAAAAAATAAAATCTATAGGTCGAACAAACAATTAAAAAATTGAGTCATATCTAAGTTGCCAAATGTTATGTAATTCTTGTTTTGGCTTTGCAGTGGATATATGGCGCCAGAGTATGCAATGCAGGGGAAAATGTCAGTCAAATCAGATGTTTTTAGCTTTGGAGTATTAGTCCTGGAAATTTTAGGTGGCCAAAGAAACACTTGTTTCATAAATGGAGAATATGTGGGAAACCTTCTAAGCTACGTAAGTAGGAACCAAGCCGATTAATCAGCTTTCAATTTCAAATTAGTCGGGGTCAGGTGCATGTAAATTATTTTACACTATTAGTGTTAATTTTTCTTAAATTAAACTGTCACAGGCTTGGAGGAATTGGCGTGAAGGAACAACATCAAATTTAATAGACCCCATGTTGAGGGGAAGCTCGGGACTGGTTTCTGACATAACGAGATGCATCCACATAGCCTTATTGTGCGTTCAAGAAAATGTTGCTGATAGACCAACTATGGCTGCAGTAGTTCTCATGCTCAGTAGTCTCTCTCTGGCTCTTTCAGTCCCTTCAAAGCCCGGATATTATATGCAAATTGATGTTAGCCCAAATATTTCACCTATTCAAGGATACAAATCAAGATTAATATCAGAATCTAATCGACCAGCCAAAAGTAAATCTATTTGCTAGTCACAAAATGAGATGTCAATAAGTGAGTTAGATCCAAGATGATAGAGTTAGACAGATTTTCCCTTTTCTGAATGTAGTTTAGTACTTATTATGTTAGTTCTTCAAACTTTCATTTGTTTGAGAATGATCGATTATTGATGATTACGGATTTAATTTGGGGATATTCACGGAGATGTATACAATTAGCAACTCCTAATAACTAGAGGTGGCAATTTCAGCTCATATTAATGAAATGGGTCTATTTTGCCTATATTTTAATGACTTGAATCACTCCTATTTTAATTGGTTAAATATGGGCTTCAAACTATTTTTTCTTTTAAGAATCTCTACAAATATGGTCAAAATGGGTTAAATATAGATATCCATATTGACCCATGATAGATCATTTAGTTTTCACTTCCACTCAAAATTCTTAATTGTGCTAAAAAATAAAAAAAATGATATTAATTTTCAAAAATTCAATTAATTTTCAAACTTAATTGAAAAAACAGATTTTTTTTGTTTTTGGAAAACAAATAAAATTTAGGGGTCGGTTGGTGGAAGGTGGGGGTGGGGGCAGTGCCGGCTCTTGCCTATAAATTTTTAGGCCAATGTCCAAATTTTGGGGGCCTCAAATTTTTATAAATAAAAAATCATGTTTAATTTTTTCATGAAAAAAATATTTATTTATAATAAAAAGTACATTTATATATATATATATTATATTTTCTTCGCTAACACTATAATATTATATTTCTAAATATATAAATGAAAATAAAAAATAGAAAAGATATTGTAATAATTAGCTAGAATATAATAATGAATTAATGAAAGTAAGAAAGAGTGTTTGATCTGTCATTAGCTAGAAGAGGTTGTCACTAAAAATCATGTCGTAAATAGAAAGGAAAAAGGATTCTAAATTTTGTACTTTCTTTTTTTGGCTTAAAAAGATTTTCTTTAATATATATATTGTTAATAAGGAAGCTAATAATACTACAAATTATTTTTAATAAGAAGCAGTAGAACATGGGAAGGGTCTTTATTTTTATTAAGAAGCAGTAGAACATAAGAAGGGAGGAGACCCGCACCTTACTTAATAAAATGATTAAGGATAAAAATGTTCATTCTAAACTCCGTAATGTATTAATAGAGCATTTATGAGAGCAATGTAATAATCTTGAAAGTAGAGTATTTATGTAATTATAATTCACTAATAATTTCACTTTTATTTGAATTGTCCATTAATTTGTATATTATATAACATTAACTTGCAATTTATGTTATTTATAAATTTAGGAAAAATAAAATTTTATATTAAGTAATGAATTTGAAAAAATAAAATTTTATATTACATGAATATTATATAAAGTGATTATTTGGAAAAAAGGAAATAAAGGATGTGTATCATGAAATAAGAAAATAATAAAAAAATAGAAATAATAATATAATATTGAGGAGAGAGAAAATAATTCTTTTTTAAAGAGTAAAATAAAAAATTAAATTGGAATTGATTATCTGAAAAAATAGAAAATCCTATATTTGAATTTGGAGAATAAAATAGAAATTAGGGTTGGAGATGCCATTAAAACTCCATAAATTCCTAGTCAATTTGTCAATTCCAAAGAAAACTGACCAAATCAAATGCTGATGTGCCACCGTTGCAACAGATGGGGACCATTTTAAGTTCATATAGTCAAGTCTACCGGTACTTTACTGGGCACCGTTCAAAATGAAAGCAATAATTTATGCCAAATTTAGATGTGATTTTACTACTTCTCTCAATCACGGTTATATAATAGAGAAGATACGTATGAATGTTCTATACGTTTTTCCTGGATATTCTTTATTTTTAATATAATATGATGTTATTTAGTTTTACCAAGCATGATTAATAATTATATTATTCATATAAAAGTATATTTTATGTACTTGTGCACTAATTTTGAACAAGTAATGCATGGCTAAAGGTAACGTGCGACTCTTTAGTTCTTCATAATTAGGTATTTCACTCTTGAGCCTTAATACATGCAATATTAAAAAAAATGAAAGGTATTTATCTTACTAATAGATTGAATAACTAAAAGCTGGCCATTAATTGTGTTCACTGAAAGAGTTAAAGTTCTTAAAATAATGAGTGCTTGAAGGGTTAAATGAACTCAATATCTAATGGATATTTCAGTCTTTTTAACTTTTCACTTCAAGACTTTGCGGTTATTAGATAATTAATGATAATATGATTTTATATGTATATCTTTTACATATTCGTGTATCAAGTACAACACGTGTAGATTTTGCACCGTGGGCATCGTCAACCCAAACACCAAATTTTACATCAAATTTAATGTTAGCACTATTTTTGGTGTAATCAACTCTAACCCATTGCACCAAATTTTACACCAAAAGAAAATATGTTTCTCTCTTCATTATTATATTATTATTTCTTATTTCATTTATATTTTCTTATTTCATAAATTCTTTCTAAAACATTCATCATGTATAATTCATATTATTTCCTTTTATAATCGCTTACTATAAAATTATTCTGTACCATAATTTTTTAAATAATATAAATTGCTAGCAAATATTATACATTATACATAATAATGGATAATACAAATAAAAGTGAACTCATTAATGAAATTCAATTAAATAAACATTACATAATTGAAAAAATTATTTTAAATTCTACACAAATATTCAACTTCCAAGATCATTACGGTGCTCCCATAAATATTCTATTAATGCATTACGTAGTTCAAAATGAGCTTCTTTGTTGAATGTTTATTATTTTCGGTTATTTTTAAGTACATTGTATTATTTGTTTAAAAAATTATATGTTTGCATTTTTAATTTCTGTGAAGGTTAATTGTAGTTATATCCAATTATAATTTATAGTAGAATTAACATAAATTTATTTTTTAGAAAAATTCATATATAGAAAAATTAATTTATAAAAAAGCTAAATTTTATATCTAAAATTAATATTATAAAATTATTACATAAAAAATAATCAATTTTACACAAAATATAATTTTACACCAAATCCTATATTTGGTGTAAAATTTGGTGTTTTGAGCTCCAACCCACACCATATTTTACACCAAATTTGGTGTGTGAATAGTGTTACACCAAATTTGGTGTAACACTATTCACACACCAAATTTGGTGTAAAATATGGTGTGGGTTGGAGCTCAAAACACCAAATTTTACACCAAATATAGGATTTGGTGTAAAATTATATTTTGTGTAAAATTTGGTGTTGGGTTGGAGATGGTCTGAGATATCTAATTGTAGAAGTTAAAATTCAAGAGAAGTCATCCTAGAGTATATACTGCCTCTGTCCCTAATTACTTGTGCACTTTTGAATTGACACACCTATTAAAAAAATAATTATTGACATAGTAAATTTATCATTTTACCCCTATTAATTATTAAATTGATGCATTAAAAATTTAATTGAGGGTATAATAGGTAAAAAAAAACTTATCATTTCTTGATTTGTCAAAATGGACAAATAATCAAAAAAAAAAAAAAAGTAAACAAATAATTAGGAATATAAAATTGTAAAAAGGAAAGAAAAGATTAAAAAAAGAACGTGTAAATAAGTGGAAATTTCCCACCATTTCGGTGTGTTGTCTAAAAGTCAACCTGTCAACGTCGGCCAAAGAGAATACCCAAGTCAAGAGTTGCTGACTTCCTATTTATTACGTCAAATCATTTTTAGTCTATTTCATTTTAATTCATCCAATGCATAGCTCAATTTAACCCATGAAGAGTTTTGTTAATATATTTTAATAAGATATTTTTTATAACAACCAAGGTAAATGAAAAAAATTATTTATATACCTAAAAAATAAATAAATAAAAACTTAATAAAAATTAAATGGATTGGATTATGACCCATTTTTTACATACATATTTCAGTACAAATTCTTTTGGCACCCCCCTATAAGCACAGATCAATTGCAACCAAACATTCTATCTAACCTTGTTTAAAATATCTTAGTTCTACTGATGAAACTTACCCTCCATGGCTATTCATCAGAAATTGCAAGTCTTTCTTGTTTTTCATATTTATTTTCACTATCTCATCATAGCTCAGCCTGATTTACTATTCTCCGATTGTGGTCTCAATGGTAACTACACTCAAAATAGTGCATACCAGAGCAATCTTAACACACTCCTTTCCTCCCTTTCTTCAAATATTGATGAATATGGTTTCTACAACGCTTCCGTTGGTCGAAACACCGACATAGTCAGTGCTATTGTGCTCTGTAGAGGAGATGTGGAACTACAAGAATGTCGCAATTGTGTCAATAACACTGCTCAAAAGCTTGTACGGTCATGTCCAGAACAGAAAGAAGCTTTTGGTGGCTATGATGACTGTATGTTACAGTACACTTCTCGATCAATCATTGGCACCTCGTCGAATAAACCTCTGCTCTACATGTGGGATTCTGGAAATGCCTCAAAACCCGAAGAGTTTAACAGGGAGCTCAAGAAATTAGTGGATAGCTTACGAGGCGAAGCTGTAAATGGTGATCCCCTTCGTAAATATGCCACTGGTAGTGCAACGGATCCAAATGATCAGACTATATATGCACTCGTGCAATGTACTCCTGATTTGTCTCCTCAGGATTGCTCTGATTGCTTAACGAAAGCTTATGGAGCTATGGCTACTTGTCGCTGTAATGGCTATAGAGGCAGTAGACAAATAGGGCCTAGGTGCAACTTCCGTTATCAGAGTTATCGCTTCTTCAAACAGGTGGCGGTCGAATCTCATTCTCCACCACCAGGTGAATTCTATATATTGACTTTTCTGTAAAGAAGAGGATTAATTGGCCTTATACAACTTTAGCTGATATTTAATACTAGAATTTATTACTCACTAATTAGATTGATGCTAGGTGTTGACACCCAATTTCGACCCTCCCTGATAATAATTAATTTTTGAGCTCCATAATCTTTAAACGATTTAAGATAATTAGTTTTTATAAATTTCAAAACAAAAATATAGTTTGCAAGTTATTTTAAATAATTTGTCACTTTTTATAATTTTAAATAATAATATGTCTTTTATATAATTTTGCATATAATTAGTATTTTTATGAATATTCGAAAATTGCCTCAAAAAGATTTTATTTCGCATAAATACATTACTAATTAGTTTAGTTATATAATAGTTTACACTTTTGAGTTAATTAGTTTGTAATTAAGTCAATTATTTTATTTCGTTGAAATTAAGAAGCTCATTAATTAATTTATATTAATTCGTCTTATTTAATCACTAGCCGAATCTATTAAATGAATTCAATTTGGCTACGCTCCTAATCCATCGGCTAAATTCGTAATGCAATTGACCACTCAATTCGGTTAAAATTGTAACTTACTAGCCATTACTTTTGCCTTTCTAATAAGACCAATTTTTGGGCTTTTATCTTACAATTTTCAGCTGCCCAGCTCTTCCAAATCAGTAAGGCCCATCAGCGATGCATTTTTTCAGCAATACCATACGTACAACAGCCCACAAAACAGAGGAAAACCCATTCCAAAATAACCCACCCGCTACACATCAACAAATATATATCATCAGCCCACTTTTCAGCCCATACCCAGCCCGTTTCCAATTCTAAAAGAACCCAGAAATTTCCAATATTTCCAGTCCAACGTTACAGCAGCAAACGACGCCTACACGGATATAGACGGAAAGCAGTAGCTGTTCAAGCGTCTTCTTCAGCCTAGTACTATTTCTGTACGATTCTCTGTGTTTCCAGCAGGCAGCAGACACGTTTTTTCTACCTTTCCTCTTCCGGAATGGGGAAAAATTTCAAGGAAAAGGTGTCTAGATCGAATGGTGAAAGGAATTAGGAGTTTGAATTTAAAAAAAAAATAGGCCTTATTCTTGTGAATTTGATCCGTTTTCCCCCTAAGTTTGGAACCCTAATATTTCCCCTATATATACTTCATCTCCTTCATTGTGAAAGGGGGCGGAAAAAATTTTGAGTTAGAAAAATATAGAGAATTAGCTAGTATTAGAAAGGAAGAAATACACTCAAATCATATAGTTCCTAAAATCACAGAAAGACTTCATGTTCTTGCTTGCTTTCTCTTTGTTCGTTGGAGTTCTTGGATTCACATTCTAGTGGTGGTGAAGTCACTTCCTTACTCGCTCTGGTCTCAGTTTCGCTGCTCCAAAGAAGGTAATGCTCTCTCCTTTGTAATGTTTTCCTTACCTTTTTTTTGTTTCCAGCGTGACATCTATAGATGTGCTTTGTTTGGTTTGCTAGCACTTGTCGTTGAGTTCGGGATGATTTGCTATAATATGACTTCTTTAAGCAATTTCAATATAAATGGATTCATTTGTTCCGAGTTTATTTCGTTGTCTCTGTCGCGTATGTTGGCTTTGGACGTCCGAATCCATATTTCTTTGTTTTCAATGTCTTAAGATACCAAAAGTGGGATTTCCTTTAATTAATGTTAATGTTATGAGCTGTTGTACGTGATGTGGTGAAGCACTATTCTAAATTTTTTTTTTTTTTTTTTTTAGTTTCCATATAGTTTGATTTTGTTCTGAAAGTTAGCTAAATCTACTTAGTTTGCTCGAGATGGTCTATTGTTCACTCAAGTGCATTTTTTGAGTGTGCCAATTATGTGTTCTGTTGCTTCACTGACTATTTGTGTGTTGGTTGTTCTTTGCCGCTTTGACTACCGTAGTAGCCTCTCATCCATGTTAGATTAATCTCGTAAAATCTAGTCTTTGTTCTCACCTAGCCGTATTGATATTTGTGTCCCTTTGGTTTTAACCTATGATACTTGTTTATAGCTTCTCACCACCCAATAGTTAATATGACCACATCCTTGATGTTAAAATGTCCAGCTCTACTTTTATAAATGATATGCTTATTCTCATCAGTTTCAAGATATGCAATTTTATGCAACTTTATATATATTGGCTTGTCTTAGTTGATTAAATTATCTATCTGTCCTCTCTTTATTTTATTTGAGAAAGAAGAAATAAATCTACAAGTTTTCATTCCCCGTAATCAATTTGCTTGAAATACATATTCCCAGTTAAAGATAGGATTATCCTTTGATTATTTTGAGACTCTCCTAGTGCCCAATCATTTTGGCTTAAGCTTCTTGTTTATTTACAATATTGTTGTTACCTTCTTGAATAGATCTGGTGCATATAACCCATGTCTAAGTAGTTGTCGTCAAAGTTTTTTTTTGATAAATATTCGTGCTTTACTTACAGGATTTTATTTAAGTTGCTATTGTGATTTGTTTCACCCACTGACTATGAGTTTGGAAATTTAGCTTCACTTCTCTTTTAGTTTAATAAGTATTTAAAATAGTTGCTTAGCATATTTATTTATTTATCATGTTGAATGTGTTAATAATAGTTAATACCTTTTTTCATTTTATCATTGCAGTGGTGTTTCACATTTGTTATAAAATAATCATTGATGTTTTTCCCTCTTAAGTACATGACGTTTTCTCTGTTTTCTTTATTTTGAATAATTATCTATTTTTTTGTTGTTTAGTATATATACATAAATGTTAATTTGAGTATAATTCTTCTCCTTCATTTTGTTTATGCATGAACTCTCTTGGGTCGAGTCATTTGGAATCCCCCATTTCTCCCCTTGCATCTCGAAATGGGATAATGGGACCCAATGCTTCCCTTTATCGAGTCCGCCAGACATTAAAATCGACGAACAAGTCTCGAAATTAAAAGAAAAGCGAAGCAAATCGGGAGTTGAAAAGATTGGGCCAAAGCCTACCTTTATTTTTCCGGAATTGTATTTTGTTATTATTGGGCCTAAGACCTTGTCATTTTACTTACCATTACTTGTTAGTTCCTAGGACATGTGGAAAAATTGGGCTTAAAGTCCAAAAGAGAGATATTTATTTCATGTTAGACTAGGACATGTGCAGGTGACTCAAATGGGCCTTTGGCCCAATATGAAAATGGGCCCAAATACTGGCCCAGGCGGACAGAAAATCCAGACTTGGGCCCAAATCTTCTTTCCTTATCTATTTATTTGCTATAACATGTTTTTATGTGCTTATTTAATTTTAAGGTTACTTAATCAATCCCCCAAAGGATACCCATTCTGAATTAATCGCTTAAACTAAACTATTCATTCTTTACTTGACTTAACAAATAAATAAGTTTTACAAAATATTTCGCTTAGATAATATTTCAATAATTTTCTTCTTTTTTTAAAATAGTTCTAATTACAAAATAGTTCATTTTTGCAATTCAAATTAAGTTACAGTTAATTTAGCCAAATAAGTAATCGTCGGATAACCACATTAGTGGATATTCTAGGTGCCTTAAAAACCTTCCTAGAATATTAATAGGAACCTCGAACCCCTCTTTAAATATTTTCAATCGATTTCCTGTTTTAATAATTTGAAAAATAAGTTTTCTTAATTTCCCTTTAAAAATTAAGTGGCGACTCTAGACCAGTCCCAAATATATTTTCTAAATAAAACAGAATGGTGACTCTGCTGGGGACTTGAATGGTTCTAACCTTAAGATTAATTTATTTGGCTATGTGATTTAACTGTCTACCTGTTTTATTTATCGTATATATCGAACTGTTGCATTCATGGCATGACATACTCCGTCAAACGACAATTATTTTAATTTCCAATTAAAGGACGATTATGCGGGCCCCAGTCGTTCGTTAACCAAATTGTTCTCGAGGCACCCTGACGAATGTAGTTGGCTACTGGATAGTCAAAGGTCGTTAACTGTCCCAGCTCAAGTCGTCCGCTTGGGTCACTTATCTACTATAAACAAAGCCCACTCTTAGTAAAGACTAGCGTAGAGCCAAACTCAATCCCGAAATTTAGCGCATTGGCCTAAGATGACCCAATACCCAAGGCGTGTTGAGCCCACTAGAAAGACCACCTTGTGTCCAAAGGGCCCATGGCCCGAACGGACGTTCAGACTTACGTGTTTGAAGGATGTATGCGCTGTTTGACAAATTGTTGTGTCTTGGGTTTGGGGGTATCTAATTCTTTGTATGTTTTTGTAGATGGCCAAGCAACACTTGAGTTTCAAAATGGTCACCGAGACGCCAAACCTTCTCCGTGTATGGTGGTACAATCTCAATGCGTATCAGAAAGACAACTTTCCATTCACTTGGGTCACCTCCCGTCGATAATGAATCTCGAAGTATGGCCTGAGTTCATCGAGGTGGTCACTCGATTTTGGGATGATGAGAGAATGGTGTTTCGCTTCGAAGATGTTGAAATGACACCAACTGTTGAAGAAATCAGAGATTGCTTAGATAGCGTCGGAATGTGCCAAAAAAGGAAAAATCATCCAGATCATCACATTTTGCTACCGGATAAGCCGACCAGCAAAGAACATGTTGTTACTGGTAAATGCAGACTGGCTAGACACCCTGAGTATTCCGCTTATGAAATTCTATGAACGATGGGGACACGAAAACTATTACAAGAATTTTCCAAATGAGTTTCTCAATCGCAGTAGTTAGAGTCAAACCCAAACCTTAGCATTTGCCGTATGCTTCTTAGGGACAATGATGTTCCCCCAGGATGGAGGGAATGAAATTGATACTCAGATTGTCATGGTAACTCACGCTATCTTTGAAGGCGTTGGTAAAAAGGGCAAGTCAAGAAATACTTCAACCTGGCCCCGATCATTGTGGCTGACATCTATCGATCTTTGGTCAATGCAAAAATGGGTCTCCATTTTTTCAAGGGTGTAATATCCTGCTGCAATGGTGGAAGTCTAAACATCTAGTGAAGACTTGCGAGACCCAGAAATAGAAATTAGCCGAACCACGAAAAGAAAGTCACTTCGACCATTATGAGTTACATTTGAGCATTAATAGATTCAAAGTCCACAGCACGAGGGAAGCA